ATAAGTGTAAAGATTTACTGCTTGATGCTGTCTATGCCAGAGCCCCTATGGCTAAACTTGTCCCACTTATTGCTGTCTCAACGATGACTGGTATAAAGGCTCTGAATCTCCAAACAAATCAATGGTCTAGTTTGCAGTCAGATTATGATGTTGGCTTTCATCTTATCAATGCTGAAGGACGATTGTATGCTTCAGATGGGAATGAATTGTCTTTGCTACAAGATGGTCGATGGATTAAGAAGACCAAGATTGAAAGGAATAGTGCAATGTATGATAAGATGGTTTATCTCAAGGGTGGGATTTATATTATCAACTATGATCAGCATACAGTGCGATATGACATTGCCAAAGACAGATGGGATAAGAATTTGCCTTTATGTCATCTCGGTAATGATTTTTGTGCTGCTGCCTCTGATGAGTTTATATATGCGATGGGAGGTTGGTTCACACTAAAAGAAGCAAAAGCATACGATCCTGGAACAAAGAAATGGTCTTCTCTGCCACAGATGATTTATGAAGCTTATGGTGGTGCAGCAGTTGTTTTTCAAAGTAGGGTTTATGTACTGGGAGGTTTTGATGGTACAGGCGATGTTCGCAACTTTGTTCAATGTTATAACCCTGTTGTTCGCTCATGGACAGAAATTGCAAAAATGAAGATGAATAGAAGTTGGTTCAAAGCATGTGTTGTTGATAATAAAATGTATGCAGTCGGTGGTGCTGAGATGAAGAGCCTGACTAAGGATTCTATTGAAACATTCAATGAAGAAACTGGTGCATGGGAAATAGTCTGTGAAATGGATTGGCCTGGTCTGGACTGGGTTTATTGCTGTAGCTATGCTCGATAGATGAGTAATCAGTGATAAAAGTTGATGACAAAATATGCTTGTTATATATACAACTTGTATATACTGATTGTATTAACTCTCCTGTTGAGTCATATCCATAAAAATTTACATTTTTGATTCCAGTATCAATAAAACGTGACTCTATCTCCACAGCCCTGACCAAAGATTGAAATGCCTATCTATGTGTGATTTGATCTTTGTACCTGTATATAATACATGTGATTATTTTGATTGTTCTAATTTGGAAATCTACTTAATCATTGTTTTATGTCAGATTTTATAAAAATTTTGATTGCTTTACAAATGCTGAATTTTATGATTTAAAATATCTTTTATTTTTGGCATCCATATTCCAAGCATCTATAGTTTTGTTTTATTACAAAATTTAATATAATCATATGATGAATATTTTAAAGCGTGTTCATAATCCCATAAATATGCAATTATTAATTTTTCAGTGATATAGTATAGATTGAACTACAGCTAGGTTTCAAGTAATCTGTCCATAAAGAAAAAACGGGTTGAAGTCTTTGTATTAGAAGAGTTGAAATCCCATGACCCACGTTCAAGTTGGTTCAAAACGACGGCTCGGGGCTCGGATTCTAGGTATGTGAGCATGATTAATCTACAGCGAATTTCAACTTCCTCAACGCGTCTCAAGCCAAAGACAGTACGAAAATAACTTCTGTATAAACTTGAAGCGCTGAAGTTATACTTCACAGCTTGTTCGATATTCTCGACTTGCAAATGGTCAATATATGACAATACTCACCACCAATGCACCTCAAGATTTACTAAGGAATGCCATGCCTGTCGCACAACGAGTGTTGGTTGTTTCTCACAGGTATCATTTCCTTAACCGCTGACAATGCCAGAACCAGAATCATTTTATTACCCACCGAGATAGATTCTCCCAATTCACCCAATAACACCTGCTTCACCGATGTAGCCACGATCACAGCCTGCATACCCCTGACAACCACCCTGCAATCTTTCGCTCCGGGATGTGGCGAATCAAGCTAAGCGTCAGGTATACACTCTCCACCGCCCCTCTGATTACCCGGTGTGGATTCGCAGGTTTGAATCCCATTCTGAGTTTATTATGTGCCAGAGGTTTGCTTGCCGCCTTTGTGTGGGTAAGATATTCGCTGGTCGGTTACAACTTCCTCCACCATCGAGTTTACGTATCTGAAATAAGTAACTGGCTAACTAATCCCATACCTGACATGGACTGTTAACGGGACGAGAGGTCGTGGTTCGCCATGTGATTGAGCAGTCATTTCAACTTCCCTCTCCCACAGGATGAATACGTAAATCTTATCTAAATAAGAGATTGAATTCCATACCATCAACTGCTGATATTTTGTGTCTTAGGTTGGTTATAAAACTCACTGGAACCATCTGAACTACTTGCACATTGTATTAACCACATGTAAATGTCTATTTTACGCTTAATATGTGCAGATTGAATGACTCTTATATCAATGTACAATTGGTTTTGTTAGAAATATATATAGTGTTTGTATCCAATCAATATGGGCAATATCAAGTATCTGTGTTTTATATACTTTACATTTTATTTGCATAAATCTAGTCTGTTTCAATGATCATATGATCATTAATAAATCTCTTGTCCAGGATGTGCGACATTATACTTTTATTACCATGATATACTTTCTCTAGAATTGCATAAAAATTGTCCTGGGTGCAGTTTACAAGCACATAGCTAATGGAAATCTAATGAACGATTGCAAGTGACAACCAATGGCTGAGACTTGAGAGCTAAGCAAGATTTATCCTATTGAAGGATATAGCAGTTGGCACAGGATTTTGAGCAGTTCAACACTATCCTATCAAGAATATTAATAACATGTGATAAACAACCTTGTGTTAAACAACCTTGATTTTAGTATAAATCCTCAACCTTCACTCTATAAAAAACGCATTTGCTGCCAAGTTTGTGTGAGGATTTGGATAATCGAAAGCTTTTCGGTCCTACTTTATCAAACAACAGTTTTAAACAGAACAACTTGCATCCCTTGATTTTATTGCGCTTATTTGGGTGCTCCCGTAGTAGGTGTACCAGGTTGGGGCCACAATGTTATTCCGATTTTCCTCATTTTATTTCAATTACGAGTTCGGGGACTGTTTGTGTTAGTGAATGTACTCCCTGTCCATAGGCTTCCATGCCTTTACTCAACTTGATATAAAATAGGCGAGCAACTCTAGTTACCTCCATATTGGTACACATACTTCTGGTGCGTCCTTATTTGGAGTATATAAATCCTAATCCCGAATATTCTCTCAACAAAGCTCTACACTGTGGTATCACAGTTAATTTTTTTTTTTCAATTCAGCCCTTGCAAAAACTTTGCCTACTCCAGTTCTAGAATATGTTCCAAATACTTGGTACCCTGTACTTACAATAAAACATTAGAATAGGCACACAATTGCAGAATGGAAAAGATTCTGAGCCTACCTTGAATATTAGCTTTCTACATTCCTGTGACAGAGCCTTGTTCCGAGGGAACAGTGTGGAAATGCATTGTTCGCTATAGTATAATGAATATATGACCTAGAAATGATATCTGTTCCAGCCCTAAAAGAGTATTGAGGGAGGTTTGTCTGGTCAGAATTGAAGGTGGAAAACGCATCGAATTGAATTATAAGATGCTTTTGCTATTGGTTACCTTCTAACCATCGACTTTATATATTTTATTCTCAAGTCAAATTACATACAGTACAATCCTTATATAATTTGACTGGAATTCTGCTCATATTGTAGTGACATATCAACCTTTGTGTACATATATTTGTGCATTGCGTATTGCATCGAGCCGTGCTGGTAAACTAGTCACAGCTCATAAGGAAATAGATTAGCTGACGTCATTCGATAATTTAATAGTGTAATAATTTACATTTGTAAGATCGAGCATGGTCTTATGTTAAAATACACAGCTGAAACACTGAACATGTTTGGTAAACACGATTTCTAAATACATTGGTAATATGACTCCAATAGGTAATCTGATGACTGGAGTTGACGTAATATGAAACTGTTATATCTTTATGCAGCCTAGACGCGATTATTTCATTGCCTGAGTTGGGACTATAGTGTTGTCTGCAGATAATACACGTTATAGATTTTTTTGAAGAAAATATACTCAAGGCAAGTCTATGCGCACTCACTCGTGTAGGAAATTTATTTCTGAGAAAAGTTGGTCTACTTTGCCTGGGACATCATTATAATGAAAAATTGCGCGTTAGCTAATTTCGATTGACTCGACAATTCAGGTAATATATGTTGAAATTAGGATCAGGAAAACAGCATTTAGGTCGTGAATTCCGCATTATTGAAAAAACAATTTACGCCTGCTTTTTTTGCCAGTAGTAAGGTATCCTGACAGTGAAAAAGGGAGAGCTGCCGGCTAATCGAATTAGATTTTATAGGTATTTGACAGCAATATACCATTTACGGTACATTGTTTGTCAATCCCATCCATTGTATAATGATGTAATACAACGTTCACGCATGCCATATGCTCAAGGCTGGATATGAGAGGTCACTGATATCTAGAGACTTGTTCTCTATCGAAGTTATTAAATGTACATAAGCTGGCATTTTCATCTGTCTCGTTATTGATAAGCCAGGGCACGCTGGGTTTTAGGTAAATCGTTCAAAATAGAACAAAATGGTGTTGAAATGACGTAAGAATTTATGCCTCACTGCAAAATTTCATTTAAAGAAAATGTTGAAACGATCTCTCCAATTTCCAACGCTTTTAGACAGTTTTGGGGGATATTGTAATGTTACTCTCATAATAATGTGCATGTATGTATCTGAGAAGTTTTATTCTTCAGTAAGAATTCGTAGTTATTTGAAAAAATGGATTTTTGTTGATGGTTATTAAAACAAAATGGTCCAGAACATTGCTGTTATAAATTAGGATCTGACTGTTTTGTAGCCTTGAATGTTTTTTCAATTTGTACTACTACTATTCGATTTCTATTCATCTATATTGTGCTACAAAACCTAAATTCTACAATAGCTCAAATATTTACTCATTATAAAAATTGTACAGAAACTAGTTACATCAGCATCTTTACCTGTTATTAAGGCCTCACTATCTGTGAAGATCTTCCAGAATTCAAGAAATGGCTGAATTAAAAAAATCTGCAAAAATTACTCACTCATTGAATGTACTTACATCATTTAATGAACTAAAACAATCTGACTGCATTTGTAACTTCACAATCAAAGTTGGTGACAAATCTTTCAAAGTCCATCGAGACCTGCTTGGCGCAGTATCAAAGTACTTCAAAGGCATGTTTTCAAGTAACATGGTTGAGGCTCGGAATGGTTTTGCCATTATGAAAGACATCTGTGCTGATGCTGTAGGGCAGTGTGTAGATTTCATGTATACTGGTGAAGCAAATCCATCCATGGAATCTGTTGAAAATACTTTGTATGCTTCCCACTTAATGCAGCTTGATGTATTATCAAGTATATGCTTTAATTTCATGGAAAATAATCTGTCAGTGCAGCATTGCCTTCTAGTGGTCAGGTTGGCAAGACTTTATGATCACAAAGAGCTTGAAACCACTGCTGAGCGATTCATTGTGGATAATTTTGAGTCTCTAATTTTGGGTGAAAATTTTCTACATTTCAGCAAAGAAAAACTTGTATTTTATCTGCAAAAGTTGGGTAAAAAGCATGAAGTAGTTTGGCATGCTGTGAGAAGATGGATTTCAAACAAAGGTGAAAAAATTGGATCAGAATTAATGGAGACTTTGCATTTTGGAGAGTTTCCTTATAAATTTTTTCTCACTGATATGCTAAATGATTCTTTGGTAGAAAGATCTCCAGATGCGAAAAGTTATGTCATCAAAATGTTACTTTCAAATATCGAAGGGTTGAAAGCGAATTTATCTCTCGACACTTTATTCATTTTGAAGAAGATTAATCGGATCGAAAACAAAGTTTGCTCTGAGAATGTCAGAAATATAATCAATGAATTTATGGCTCAGAGTTTTGAACAGATTGTACTGATGGATGAATTCATTAAGTTAGAAAAAAATGAAATTTTTTCTTGTTCAAATCTCAGGAAACAAAATATTCTTCAGAGAAAATCAAATGGAAAGCTGCACTGAAATGGGCCAAACAAAGTCGCCGTCATCAGAAAATTTTTCCAGACTTGTTCGAGTTGATAAAACTTGAGGATTTTTCTGATGATTTTGTACAAGAGACAGTCAGAAATGAACCTTTGGTTAAAAGGTCACATAAGTGTAAAGATTTACTGCTTGATGCTGTCTATGCCAGAGCCCCTATGGCTAAACTTGTCCCACTTATTGCTGTCTCAACGATGACTGGTATAAAGGCTCTGAATCTCCAAACAAATCAATGGTCTAGTTTGCAGTCAGATTATGATGTTGGCTTTCATCTTATCAATGCTGAAGGACGATTGTATGCTTCAGATGGGAATGAATTGTCTTTGCTACAAGATGGTCGATGGATTAAGAAGACCAAGATTGAAAGGAATAGTGCAATGTATGATAAGATGGTTTATCTCAAGGGTGGGATTTATATTATCAACTATGATCAGCATACAGTGCGATATGACATTGCCAAAGACAGATGGGATAAGAATTTGCCTTCATGTGGTCATGGTGTTGATTTTTGTGCTGCTGCCTCTGATGAGTTTATATATGCGATGGGAGGTTGGTTCACACTAAAAGAAGCAAAAGTATACGATCCTGGAACAAAGAAATGGTCTTCTCTGCCACAGATGATTTATGAAGCTTATGGTGGTGCAGCAGTTGTTTTTCAAAGTATGGTTTATGTACTGGGAGGTTTTGATGGTACAGGCGATGTTCGCAACTTTGTTCAATGTTATAACCCTGTTGTTCGCTCATGGACAGAAATTGCAAAAATGAAGATGAATAGAAGTTGGTTCAAAGCATGTGTTTCTGATAATAAAATGTATGCAGTCGGTGGTGCTATAGGTAAAGGCCTGACTAAGGATACTATTGAAGTATTCAATGGAGGAACTGGTGAATGGAAAATAGTCTGTGAAATGGATTTTCCTGAGGTTTATTGGGTTCGTAGCTGTAATTACGCTCGATAGATTTGTAATCAGTGATTGAATTGAGTCATCATTGCTTCTTAATTAAAGAACTTCCCCAGATAAATACCTGATAATACTAGCTGTATCACTGACTATAATTTCTCATTTCGCCCATATCGTAGTTGATGTTTTTATTTTGCTTCGAATCTACAGATTCCTCAGTGAAAAATCCGCATAATTTACTTGTTTTTATGTATTTCATTCTACACCAGGAGGATTAGAATTCCAGGTCTTTTTAGCTCTGTGCCTATATATAGGCTTACCATATTTCTGAAGTAAAAATATGGGACTGCGCAGATTGGACAAGCCAACCTTGGTTTGATTCCAAGGCTTAGTATTAGTTTAAAAGTTTCATTACTATTGTGGGTAGATTACGAGCATCAGCATTAGCTGTAAATCCTATTAAAATAATGGTAATCTGATTTAAACTCATTAGAAAACTTGCACTTTGTTTCCGACATTTTGGTCATTCAGCGACAGTACAGTTGTATGTTAAATTATAGCATGGTTCATAATTCATCTCAAACTTATGACATAACAAGTTTTTCTCACTCTGAATCAGTAAGTCAGCCGCAAAGCAATGGTAAATTTGCTGCCTCTGTTAAAAAAACAATTTTTTGATAGTATCAAATAGAAAAATTATTTATATCCTTCATACTGCAAAACCGGGACATTTAAGTCTATCGCCGGGACGGCGGGAAAACATCTCAAAACCGCGATTGTCCCGGCTAAATCGGGATGTATGGTAAGCCTACCTACCGGTATATATATTTAACGTTTTCAAAGACCCAGATTAAAATTGTGCTAAATCATCGATTGTAGTGTTTTTTACACTTACACCGGAATTTAAACTTAAAACCATTTTAAAACTTTGACTCAGGAATGTTGCAAATTTTAACTCCCGTTACTGTCTTCCGGTTGAAGGAAATGTTTTGGCATCTCTTTTAAATATTGATAACAATAACTACGGCTTTTGCAAATCTTTTTTAAACTGTTTGTAAAAACTGCTCTAATCAACTGGAATGCTCTCAAAGTTTCTGTAGAAAATTTGGACTTCAATTATTTCCATTAAAAACTAAAATTCCGTTCTGTGTGAAATTTGCTTTGAAATCTGGCCTCGTAGAATCCCAAATTTCGGCCTCAACTCTGGTAAAAAAGAAAACATGTAAAACTCATCCTTTGCTGAACCCGACTCCAGCTCCGCAACCCTCACCAAAAGGTGAAATAGCTGGTTATTTTTTATATTTTTAGGCGTTAAATAATATGTTCTAAGTTGAAGTTCTACCAAATCATTGTTCATCTCAGATTTTATGAAAATCTTTATTTCACTTCAGAAAGGCTAAGTTTTACAGATTGAAGGATTTTCTCTGATTTTTGTCATCTGGTTTCCAAGTATCTATATTTTTTATTAGAATATGCTATTTATCCTAATTTTCCTAATTTCTCCATGCAAATGTGCGCTTCATGATGGCTGAATTATATAGTTTGAAGAATTTTATTCGGTTTATACCTTCTTCCATTATATACTCAGTATTTTAATCTTAATCACTTTAATGCTCTGAATATTTGAATGCTAAGTAAATATGAAATTATTAATTTATTAGAAATATAGATTAAACTGTTGCTAGGTTGCCAGTAATTCACACAAAGACAGGACTGGTTGAAATCTTGTGTATTAAAGAAGAATTGACAATCCAGTGACCCAATCTCAAGTTTGTTTGAAACTGATGGCTTAGAACCGTGTTGTTGTGAAGAAAGCTGTAATTTTTCCCCAGGACAATGACTCAGCCAATGACATAAGGCTACCCTACCATTATACACCAATACCCGACGGGACAGACAGGCTTCACAATCATGATGTCTCAACATGTCCTCATGTGGTTATTGATATTATAACATGCGTTGTTCGCTTCGCACAAACTAGCTGTTAGGACATTGTAATCTCATATGCATAGATGAAAAATTGGATGCCGGTATAGACTTTGTAACGCACAGGGAATTAGAATTACTCGCACATACCAGACTAAACTAAATTAAAAACTTATTTTGTGCGCCGGGCACCATTTAAGCACAATTTTTCCTTGCGGTCGCTTTTGGCACATATGCCACAAGTTGCACACACCTGCCCTAAAGCAACAACCTTGCAATTTCCAGTTTAAAACCGAGATTGCGAAAAATATATATTTATAATTGCAGAATAACTAACTTTTAATGGCCTCATCAGATTTTGGTTTTAATATTATTTCATGCATGAGAGGATTGCTGGACAGCGGTTACGGCTTCCTTCATCTTCAAGTCTATGCTTTCGAGAAAACAAATAACTAACTAATCCCATACCCGACATGGAATGGTAACAGGACGGGAGGCTGTGGTTTGCCATATTGTTAAGCCGTCTTATCAGCTTTCCTCTCCCCTGGATAAAATAAGTAAATCCTAATAAGTTGCCAATAAACAACTTTGAATTTTTTGTATGCGATTCTAAATGTTTATTTTTCCTTGACATATTGTGGGTTACTGTAACTGTATTGAATTCCATACTTCAGGTTTTGAGTCTAGGAGAATTAACATGTCAAAGTCCTAACTATGTATAAGGGGACCTGACAGTTCACTCTTGGATGGCAAAAATTTGTAAAAACTCTGAGTAAAAATTTTGGAAATTTCTGTTGGGAATGCTCAGATGTTGTATATTCTGACTTCGATTTTTACCATTGTAATCTGAAATTCTGACTCTGTGAAGTTTGGAAATAGGTCTCGACAGTCCTGTTTCATATGTATAGATATATTGGCATGCATACTGCTACTTGCTTTTATTGCAATCATCTCGCCTCATTATGTCATGTTTACCTTTACAAGATATGTTCCATGATCTATGCTTTGAAATTGTTATTTACTGACTTCGATTAAAAAAGATTCATGACAAAATGTATTTGTAAGAAATCAATGTGGCATATTGCTGTTTCAAATGAAGTAGGGGATTGAGCGTGTGCTAAGAAACATACAAGAGAGCTACGCACAAACATATGGACACGTTAGACCAAAGCGAATCAGTCCTTACCGGTACCTTTGACGCTACCGGTACCCTCAAAAAAGTTCTGAATTTCCAGTAGCAAGAATTTTGCAGAATCAAAACGTACAGCCAGTCATGACACTGACTAAAATCCGTGTTCCCATGGATAAAAAATAATACAGCAAAATTTTAGACGAAATATCAACTTTCATAGAATTCACGCAAAATTTTGAAATAAATAAAAGTAATAGCCTTCTAGCAAAAAAATTAATCTTCAACCACTGAAAATTTCAAAGCAATTGGTCCAGTATTCGAAGAGAAAAGCGACTTTTTAAAAACGTGTCAAAGAACAACAACATAATATTGAAACGATCGTTATGTCCACTTCGTGTCCAATAAGAGCTAGTAGGGTTGTTCCTCTTGCTTGTCTTGAACAATATTAGAGAATCTTAGTACTGTTTGGTAAAGGATTAGGTGTGCAAAAAACAAATGTCAAGAGTAGAATAGGATTGGAATCAGGGAGGATGAGTAAGAAGCTGATGACATGGAACAGATTTTTTACACGATATAATTGTACGTCCTTTGCTTCAAACAAGGCTCCATATAAGCAGCCCTGCTAGATAAAGTACTATAGTTTGAAGTGCAGAATCTGCTTCTTTGTTAGTGATAACCTACTGTGCTTCTCATCTCGAGAGAGAGAAAAGATGACAAGGGGCTCAATCATATGACGAATGTCCGCTCACCAGTCCATATTGGGTATGGGATTAGTTAGCCAGTTATTTGTTTCAGATGTACGGAGTTGCTGGTGGAGTAATGTTTCAATGACATCCTATTCGGCTGGAACATTGAGCAATTTTGTGTTTATGTCTCCTGGAGCCCGCTACCAGTACCGAAGATCATGAATCAAGTACTGTTTTCCCGAAAATAAGACTGAGCACGAATTTCAAAAATATTTTTAATACAAGCTCCCCCACCTTAAAATAAGGAAGACCCAGTCGCTTTCTTCAACAAATTTGTGTTGTTTATAAGAAATTTGATATCGGTTTTTATATTTTGTGTATTTGAAAATATAGTAATTCTCTACTTTAACAAAAGACATCCCGGAAAAATAAGATCTATTGTTATTTTCGAAAGAGGATTGAAATAGACCCTGTCTTATTTCCGGAGTTTTGATATCAAAGCCACTATTAAATCCACCAAACATTTCCCACACGAAGACCCTCTTTGCTGCCAGCAGTCCACATGAGACGGGGAATACCCTGGCTGGCCATCTGGTGGTCTGCGTAGCTCGTCAATACAATCTCGAGTGCTCAATATTGCCCTCGAGAAAATGAACAACGGTTCCCAAACACATTCATTTCCCGAACTGCTAAATCCTAATTAGGTTATAGAACCTTGGGTGTCGCTGCTTAATAACTAATTGTGGTTTACGAGGTTTTCTTCTCTGGTTAAATTACGTGTTCAACACATATAAAAAAATATATATAACAATAAAAAAAATATATCCTGTGTATCAATCACGCGCAAACATTTCCCCAGTGTTCGGCTCGGTGGGACAACTGGGACACGACATTTTTGAGATACCCGGACAAGTGCACACTAGTGAATCGTTATGAGTAGATAAAAGAAGAGGGCAGTTTGCGAGCAAAATAATAATAGTGGCAGATCGGAAAACTGACTATCCTTCGCGACCTGTAGATTTATTGAAACGGGGAATACCCAGGCTGGCGGTCTGCGTTTCTCTTCAATACTATCTCGAGTGGTCAATATTGCTCTCGGCAAAAAACAGTTCTCAAAAACATTCATTTCCCTATCTGCTTAATCTTATCTAGACAATAGAAACTTGGTTGTCGCTGCTTGATAACTAACTTTGGTTTTCTGGGGTTTTCCTTCCCCGGTGTCTACGTGTCCAACATATATAAAACAAACCTGTGTATCAATCACGCACAAACATTCCACATGTGTTCGGTAAAAGCGCTCAAACCCGGAGTCA